GTGTGTGTGTGTGTGTGTGTGTGTGTGTGTGTGTGTGAACATGCATGATTAACAGCTGGTCCTCTGAAGTTGCAGAGCTCGGGGAGAGTGTGCCAGACGTGTTGCAGTGTGAGTACTGTGGAAGCAGCGGCTACGCTTGCACGTTTCTGCGCTCCAAACGCTTCTGCTCCATGTCGTGTGTCAGAAGGTAAATAAAACATTTACACAACGTACTAAGTTTTGTCCTCTAGTGTAATTATTTATTACAAAAGAAACATAGTTTCAGTGATTCACTCTATTAACATGAACAAACTGTAGGTTATTACGAGACGCTCATCAGCCATAAGCTCATAAGCTTTGCTTATTGCACCACATCTCAAAGGTGCTCTACTAGACTGAGATCTGGTGACTGTGGAGGGCATTTACAGTGAAGTCATTGCCATGTTAAAGAAACCAGTTTGAGATGATTTGAGCTTTGGGGTTTTGGTGTTATCCTGCTGAAAGAAGCTATTATTAGATTGTTACACTATAGTCATAAAGGGATAGACATAGTCTGCAGCTCGGGTAGGCTGTGGTGTTTTAATGGTGCTCAGTCGGTACAAGAGGCCCAAAGTGTACCAAGAAAATCGAGGACGAGCAATAGTTTTACAATCATCTATTGCAAGTTTTGGTGAGCTCCTGTGAACTAGAGCCTTAGTGTTTTGTTCTTAGCTGACAGGAGTGGTATCCACTGTGGTCTCCTGCTACTGTAGCACATCTGATTCAAGGTTTTACGTCTGCATACCTTGGTTATAATGAGTTGTTAATGGCTATCTGAGTTGTTGCCTTGCTATCAACTTGAAACAGTCTGGCCATTCTGCAGTGTGATAGGCTGATTAAATATTTGTGCTAACGACCAGTTAGCACAAATATATGTGCTATGTGAGTGTACATCATACAGTAAATACTCAGCAGGGACTGAAATCTGAATTAATCCACTGATGAAAATAGCTCCAAAACAATTAATGTTTTGGTTCTGTTAGGCTACAGTGCTGTTAGCTGTTTTAAAAAAACAAACAAAAACAAATTACCTTAACCCTGGGAACATTTTGTGGGGATGACTGGATGATATATTTGAAGTTCAGACTAACAACATGAGATCCAGGTGAGAGTTCTGCTGGGAAAACTTATAAAAATATGCTAAAAAAAACTGCTGCCACAAAAAAAAGAAAAAAAAAGAAAGAAGGGGTTTTAACCTATAACCAACACAGACAACCAGGCCAAAGACAGTTCAATCGCCAACATAAAGAACGACACTGAAACAGCTGAAACAAAAAAACAACCAAGCAAAAACAAAACCTTAATCATCTAGTAGCTCCTTTGGTTCATGATGCATCACAACTCACAGGTTATTGTAATCTGGGAAGTGCAGAACGGAAAAGTGGCAGTAAAACGACCAATATGAGCAACCTGAGCACAGCTCAGACGAAGACCCATCATTATGGTCATCGTGTGTGACTTTCACTAAAATCAGACCAATTTTTGTGACCTGAAGCCATCACGTAAGCTCAGTGGTCCTCCAGCATGAAAAAACAGGCGCTTCATCACCTCCATCCTGCTGCCCATGACCATGAAATCAATCTCAGTTCACCATGTTGAAGGAAATCTCAATTCCTAAAATATATCAGGAGGACTGAGGAGAGAGGAGGCTTTAGCTATAATTGAGAATGCAAATGCGTGTCCACTGTGGATGTATTTATTTACCTTTAGCATATAAAAGAGTTGTGGGAAACAGCTGGAATATACAAGTCATAGTGGGAGGAGGATTCTTTTTAAACAAGTCATCCTTTTTTCACATTATTTAACATGATCAAAGTTTCTGCCCTGCACAAAAAAGCACCATGTGTTAAATTAAAGTAATTCTATTTATTTATTTATTAGAAATTGTCATGAGCACAGTTATGTCTGATGTCATAAAATCCAGCTGTGGGTCTGCTAGAACAAAAATGACACATTTCATTGGCATCTCTTTAAAATGAGGTGTGACATTTGTGAGGATGACTCAATTTTCTAAGTGCCTGTTCCCTCAGCTCATTTGTTCTCATGTCTCTTCCTCACCTCCTCCTCTCCCATCACCGATGGGAGAAAATAATGTGAAGCGATGGAGCAGATGCATTGGGCACTTGCAAACTATGAAATAAAAAGGGGTTAAGACATGCAGACTTAGGGAACAGGTAACCTAAATCAGAAATTAAAAGAGCAAAGATGGGAAGTAAAAGGACATAGTAGTAGTAGTAGTAGTGGAAAACCACATTAGGATCCCACCTTCAAAATAAAACAGGAAGTACGCTGGAAGAAGCACTCACAAGAGGAACACAAGGGGTGTGTTAAAAAGAAACACAAAATAAGAATTTATGATGGCAAGAAAAATCCAAGAATCAGCGTTTCACAACACAGGGCCGATGCATAATGCAAAGTCTGTGTAAATTGTAATATTTTATGGTTTGTTATGAAAAGTTGATCTTTGTCCGTGAGAACAATGATGATTCATTATTTTGAATCTTTTTATTTTGTTGTTTTCAGTGTTGGTGTGTGTCATTCGGCTGAGGTTCACCACACTGTCTTAGTCTGTGGAAAACATGAGCAACACTCACGAACTGTCTGCTTTAACAACAAAGCACTTTTTTCTTCCGCAGAAACTACAGAAAATTACAGTCTATGTCAGTAAAGTTGAATTACATCATCTGACATCTGCAGCCCGCTGACGCAAGTAGATAATCACTCCCAGGTTTCCCCCTGAGTCTCCATCAAAGCAACAAAAAGAGGACAGCCCAGAGTCCCGATGCTACCTTTCCCAACTTATTCACAGACTTCAAGGATGATGTGATATAATAACATTAGGGACGAATGCACTAATTAACCATCTGTGCAGGTTATCTGTCATCCAGGTCATCATAGTTTTCAAAAAACCTAAAGAAGTCCAGACGCATTTCCTTCCAAGCTCTTAGAGCATTTATTTACTCTTAAATAACCCTTAAAAATCCTCACTCTTTTTACCCTAAGGAAAAGAGGTTTGTCAGGGCCACAGTTTGCTGCAGGATTTCATCCAGCAGCAGTGCATAGCTGGTGGGATAGTGTGTAGTTCCAGGGATCAAACCTCTGGCTGCTGGGGCGTAGCAGAGCGTTGCAGTTTTTGTGGGGGACCAAAATATGGGGTTGACCAAGATGGAGAAGAGATTGAGGAGTCTATCCTGTCACTGCTTCAACCAAACCTTTCCACTCTCACCTTCAGATGAGTCAGAGCTGGACTCCAGCTGGTCCATTTCTACCTCTGAGGCCTCCTCCATGTCAGCCTCAGAGTCCTCAGAGGAGGATGATGCCATCTTAACACTCATGGTTCACGATCACTTCCAGAGCCTGTGTGTGTGCTGTAAAGTCTTGCCATCTCCAAAATGACTGCTCCTGCACTACTGCGCATACTTCTAACTGTGGCTGCCATGCAGATGCATAAACTACTTGAGTGAGAACCAAAATAAAGTCCAATTTTGTTTTGGTTCCTGCTGCTGAGATATTGTTGAAGCTCTGAAAGGGTTCTCATCATTCACTGTTATCGAATTAGTTCATAACACCAAGTGTGGCCTTCTAAGAGAACAGACTTGAAGGTGGACATCGCACACACGCACACACACGCACACACATGCACACACATGCACACCATCATCCAACATCAGTAGGACACACACTTATCATTTCAGCAGCAAGGCACTTTTGCAGAAAACATCAAAAGTTGTATTTTCAGTGATTTTCAATTGGACATTTTTTGGCCTGAGGATAAAATTAATATCAGCACCGCCAAAAATACCATTTAAAAAAATGGAATGGCCCAACATGTCCCCAGGATCCTCTAAGGCAGGGGTGTCGAACTCCAGGCCTCGAGTGCTGGTGTCCTGCAGGTTTTAGATATCAACCTGGGTCAAGACACCTGAAGGAGGTCGTTTAGCCATTTAAATCAGCTGTGTTGGATCAAGGACACACACCTGTGCTCTAAGGGTTAATCAAACATTTCACTTGTTCAGGTTCAGTGTGAGCTGCACCAAGCGTATCGCGGTGCTGCATGCAGGTCGCTTGGCTCACAGGCCTTTGGGAAGGAGAGGACGACCCCCCAGCCGAGTCAACGGAGCCTCCAGAGAGCACTTTGTGATGCAGGTCAGTAGTATCGTCGGCCTGATGCATGCATGTATAAACTGTATGGACGAAAACTGGGTTACCTGCAGGAGCTGCTCAGCCACTAAAATGGATGGCATGAAGCTCCCTGTGAACAGTTTTTATCCTGATGTTAATCAGAGGAGGTTTGGAGCTCTGCAGTCACTAATACTCCACGTTAATGTTCTAGGGTTAAAACGACATATATCGCACTTTCTGCAGCTTTCCTCATGGGCGTAACTTTGTGCTGAACATTAGGGGGGTCAGGATCTCTGTCTCTCTAAATAAATAAATCTGGGTAAATTCCCAGATGATTAAACATGCAACTATTTTGCTGGTGTTAACAGAAATGACTAAAGAAAATCAACAGCCTATTTATGCAAGACAATTCATAATTTTATTGGGGGGGTTATATTGGCTAGATCTGATTATACCCCCTTGAAATTACACCCCTGGCTTTCCTGAAATACTCATCAGTTAAGTGTTTGTGTGCAAGTTTGGCAAACAGTAAATGACTAACTACATGTTCACATGACAAACAAAGGCAAGCCTGTTTGTTTAAAGAAGAACAGCTTTGGAGGTTTTACTAATAGCACTTATCTACCAGAAGGACTTTATTGGTAGTTGTGTTGGGTTTGCCTCTTTGCTGTGAGTAAAAACGACATCGTATGCATCTTGTCAATTTATTCTCACAATCCAAAAAGAAAAACATGTCATCTCTTTTGCAACTTCTTTTCAACACAAACACACTGCAGACACAAAACGATCTGCAGCTTCACATTTGTAAGCAAACCAGCATGTTGGACAGAATATCGGGGGTGATCGGGTCAGCTGGCAGATGGGGATCTCTAATGAAAACAGCCGAATGGGCTTTGCCGGTGGCCAGATTCTTAGATGTCTATCAGCTCTGGAAACAAACATTAAAATGACTCATGCAAAAATATGTTAAGGCTGCAGAGCTTTCAAGCATGTTGCCCTGTTATATGCTGTTTTAAATCACTCTTCATTCAAAAATATGAAGAACAGACTTACAGGCTGATGATTATTACAGTTAGGTGTAACAAAAATGGATTTTTGAAGGCTGATAGACTCCAGAGGTGGTTATGCATACATGTTTTTTCTGGTGGAAACAGGTTGGAAATATTTCTAAAAAGACATTTAAATGTTTATTTGATGCTTGAAACATTCCACTGAGCTCGAACCACGAGGTTTGCAGCTCAAAGTCAATACTTACAATGAGCTATAACTAAAATTTATTTCAGACTGGTAAGAATTAAACCTCACCTGAGACACGGTCTAACACCTGCTCTGTTTGTTACTGTATGAAGTCCAGCTCTGAAATACACTGTGAATTTTTGTGTCTTTGTGCTTCTCAGGCCCACAGGTCATTTGGCTCCAAAGAGACCCAACAGAGTTCACCGAGAGAGGAAGATGAGCATCATGAGGAGGAGGAAGAGGAGGAAGAACCTCCCGTTCCCATGACGACCAGGCTTCGAAAACAGGCTGAGAGAGCGCAAGAGAGGGTGAGGGAGCAGAGGACCGTAGAAACGATCATCGTTTCAGACGCAGAAGAAGACGTCGGCTGTCCGTCTCAGTGGAACGTGGAGCAAGTGTCTTCCTACATCAGCACCCTGCCAGGTAATGCGGTTTTTCACACTCCTGAGGCACAGCTTTTATTGCTAAAGAAATGGCAAACATTAACAGTACGACCTCTGACCTCGCAGCACGTCTGTGTCGGTTTGTAGTTTGGTGTGTTGGGTTTGCTATAAGGTAAGTTTTGCTTCTCTCTCGCAGTTTTTGACAGGTTAAATATGATTTGCAGGCATGAAAGTTTCATGTGGACATGTGCTGGTTGATTAAGGGTGACTGCACATAGTGTACACCCACCAGCCACTTCATTAGGTACACCTGTTCAATTGCTCGTTAGCACAAATATCTTCAGCGACCTGCTTGAATTCAAGCTGAGCATCAGATTGAGCAAAAAATGTGATTTACTTTAAATTTGGCACTGTTGGCACATTGAAACTGAAGGAGATGGGCTTCGGCAGCAGAATACCACACTGGGTGCTACATCTATCAGCTAAGAACTGGAAAACGAGGAGGTCACACAGAATGACCACTCCGGTTCTCTTTCCATCAGGTGGTGCTGATGTGGCCGAGGAGTTTCGCTCCCAAGAAATAGATGGGCAGGCTCTGCTGCTTCTCACAGAGGATCACCTGGTCAGCACCATGAACCTTAAACTGGGACCCGCACTGAAGCTTTGCGCACACATCAACTCCCTCAAAGATGCATAAACACGTAACATTCCTCCTCTTAGTGAATGTAAAGAAAAGCAAGGATCTCCTCATCTCTGCAGAGACAATGAGGAAGTGCTGCTCATCTTTAAACTGCCTATTTTTAAACACTGTCACAAAAGAGAGCAGAGCTCGCTGAGTTGAACTGACTGCAGTTTTTTTGTTTTTGTTTGTTTGTTTGTTTGTTTTTAAGACCACTGCCAACTATTTTTCCGGGTTTTAGCTTTCCATTACCCAAGGACTCAAAGTCGACTCAGTCTCAGATGATTTTACAGTTTTACCTCAGCTGCTCTGGCTCGTTTCTCCTGATAGTTTCACGTTTACAAGTCTCAGCAGTGCATATTTAAGTTTCCCATAATCACTCAAAACCAGTTAAACTGCAAAAGGCTATATTTGCCATCTTTTGTATATTGAAGGATTAAAATGCAACATTTTATTACATTTAAATACTTAAACCAAAAAGGTACCATATAAAAATCCAACTCTTCGCAACAAACCAGGCAACAGGGGAAGGACTATTTATACACACAGGGTAATAAGGGAAGTGGAGACAGCTGGGGATATGATACACAGGTGCAGAGAAACTAGGTAATCACTGGGGAGGAGGTAAAACTCAAAGCAACACACAGGAGACCACAATCTATGAAAGGTTACTTATGCTACCAAAAACTTTTATTTTTTTTGCTGTCAATAAGTCAAAATTTGGGATATTATCTTATTGAAAATTATTTTCTCAGAAGTTTGAGTTGATAAGTTGAAATTCTGACCTACAGGTGATTTAAAAAAAAAAAAGTTTTTGTTTTTTTTCACTTTATTTTTCACCCCAACTTAACACAGACACCAGAAAACTCATTTGTTACACAAAAGGAACACAAGAGTTTAGAATAATGAAGAGAAAATAACACAGGGACACACACAACCTGAAAGTTCTCAGCTGGGACAGGAATCAAATGAGCACCAAAAACAGATTCAAAAATATAACAAAGGATCAAACTCACAATAGAACATGAAGAAATCCAAACATGAATACTGACGTGCTCTAATGGGTCCTTTCTTCGCTGCCTGGCTCCATGGAGCCCAAGTGACATTTGCCATAGAAACAAACTACTGAGTACAATTTTTCAGTTACAGCAATGAAATTTTGCCTGCTGCATCAAATGCTTTGATTTGCAATATCAAAGGTGAAAAACTCCTCTGCATCTTTCTGTAGTCTGTTGACTTTCACGTGGTCCGATATCTTCCTCTGCACTGACGTGGCGCTCATTTTCTGTGCATATCTTCGAGTATGTTCAGTACTCACGCTACACCTGTGAGATCAGTGAGATTTTGACATTAGACAGAATAAAACAAACTCCAAGACCAATAAATTGTAGTAAAAATGTCGGGGACTGTGAACTGTGGGAGATAAAAAGACGTCTCAAAGGAAATTCATATAAAAAAGCCTTCCCATAAAAATAGGTTTAAAGGAAGTGGCTGACTCTACTGACATGATTTCCTCAGGCAAGGTTAGCGCCTTTGCCCAAGGACCCCGGGTGCATGCTGGTGCATATGGTGCTCAGAGGATAGAGATATAGCCTGGAGCAAGGCCATGAAGGGCCCTAAAAGTCACCCATAAAATCTGTTCTAAAACAAACTATGAGCTGCTGTAGAACAGCAAAAAACCAGCTAAAACCGGAGTTTCATTTAGTTCTGATAAACAGGAGTGATTTCCCTAAATGTCCTAAAATAGTTAAAGATGTTAACAGACGCTGAGACGGTCAGATTTCATTTATTTTTGAGATGAGAAGTGAGCCAAAGCAACAAAGATGAGCAGTTCTTTCTCTCACCGCTTGTCATTTCGCTGTAGTGATCGTAGCAGTTCTGACTCGAGTTATCCATTTGTTTCAAAATGGTTTTTAAATTTATTTATTTTTTGTTTGTTTGTATCATTTGTAGACAAAGAGAACAAATGATGATCATTACATTCGACAAACGCGGTACAATCTCACTGTTTACAAAGCAGATTATTGCCTCCTGTCTTCAAGATGGAATTTGATACGTTCACCATCAGCAAACGGTTGTGCTGACTTATGAAAGTTTTACTGACTACAAGGTTATTTATTGTTATTTATTGTTGTCATAATTAATATACAAATAAAACAGTTAGAAAACAGTGTTTTCTTTGTGTAATGTTTTATTTTTTTTACTGAGATTTAGGGTCTTTCTTTATCTAAAATTCATTCTTTGTCTTTTCCCTTTTTTGCTTAAACTGGTGTTGTCAGCGTTAATCTCGTCAAAATGACGTTAACGGCATAACTGCGAGGGGCTGCCCCACGCACAGAGCGATCTGTGCTTACTCGCTAACTGAGATTTGCTGCGTTAATGCAACATCATTTTAACGAGATTAACGCTGACACTAGTTTAAACCTGTAAAGCCTAAACAATGAAATAAGTATCAGAATTTTTATTTTATTTTATTTTTTTAAAAAGGAAGGAATGCAAAGACCACGGGAGACGGCTAAAGTGGATGATGACAGAATTGTTTCACTGTTAACAAAAGCAGCCTTCCAACACCTAACTTCTTTAGGAGGTATTAGTATTACCGTTAAGGTCTACAATCAAAAGATGACTTCACAGATGTAAATACAGAGTGCTTACAACAAGGTGCAAGCCACCGGTTACACTGGAGAACAGGAAATTTGATTTAAGGTGAAATTTATTTATGTAGCACATTTCCAGACAGACGATGCTGCACAAAGTGTTTAACAATATAAAAATGCCATTAAAAAGAAACGATGTAAAATAATAATAACAATATAAAGCAATGATAGGACAATAAAAGAATTTAAACTA